TGGGTACCTGTGGGTTTCCACAGGCTTAGTATTAGTAATAAGATAGTCATATAGCTAGGTTAGTTTCTCATTTTTAATCATTGTCATGACTGATGCAGAAATCGGTTTAAGAATCCATCAATAAGCTTTATAAAGTTATTTATACTAGCCTAACTAATCTTAAAAAAAATGTGCACCAAAATTTTGAATTTCATATCATATTAAAATAAGTCTATATAGCATCAACAGCAACAATTTATAAAACTGATGGGCGCTTTTTTGAATCTTTATCCTAACCATTTTTTCAAAAGATTTGTAAAGCACACAATACTATGCCTTTAACTTAGTTGGTTTAGTTGGTTCCAAAATCTTAATGCTAACCCTATACAGCATAATGACTAAATCAAAGCAAATGGAAAAAGTGTTGCAAAACAATTAAGCTTTATGTGCACAATTAATAAATGATCATAATCAAATCAGAGCTAATAAGATAACATGACATGTTTCATTAGACCAATATTAGTCAATCATGGATACTTTCCTTGAGATCCAGGGATGACCCATTGGCTGATCCGTGAGTAACCTGTGATACCCACTCGGGTCGGAATACTAATTGAATCTTTTCTTTATGATTTGTCAACATAAATCGACCAATCACATGTGTGTCTTCCTACAAGATAGTCACATGAAAAATGACTAAGGGTATCCGTGGGCACAAGGGCCGGGTAGCAGCACTACCTGTGCCCTGCCCATTCGTATAAGGGCCCAATATTTCAAGACCTTACCCTAGGGCCTGGGTTTGATACCCTTGCCTGGCCCTTGTGGGTCTACCCGAGGCCATGCGGAAGCCTACTAGTAGCTACCCAGCAAAAATATCGCGGCATATTTGCCGTATAAGTAGAAGTGCCGCATGTCATATAAATGCCGTATGCCGTATAAGTGTCGCATGCCATATATACCGTATGCCTAGAGCTTACGGATTCCTTATTCGAATAATATTCGAATAATTTAGATCGGCAATATCTATTCGAACATTCGCTGAATGACTAACAGAATTCAAATAAGTGCTATTTATTCGAATAAGTACTTGTTATTGGTTAGGTTGTGGATGATAACTGATTTATCACTAGGTTACTATATAAATCACGTGGCTTTGCCACGTCATTTATGTTCCCTACGAATAATCAGTTTTCATTACAACTTAACTGATACCATTTTATCCGTAAGGTCTGACGTAAGCACTGTCGTTTTTCGTATATATTATTTGATCTTTCTAATCATTAGACTCACTTTTACTCTTTTTTTATGTTCGCTTACTTTTCCACTTTCGCTCATCATTTTTTTCGTTTAACTTTTTTTACTTTTTTTCCTTCACTAAATCTTTTTTCCTTAACTTTCACTAATATGAGTTTTATGAGTTACGCAAAAAGAAATAAAATCAAATAATTGAGTTATCACATGATTAAAAAGTGATCGAATAAGCTATTTGAAAATTACGATTACCTCCAAGAGCTCTCCCTAAAATTAAACAGGCCAATCAGAGCGTTCATTACGCCTTGAAATTCCAATGTCACGTGCCTATAAACCAACCAATAACAATGTGATTATTTTTGCGATATAACATAATGTTTGTTTAAATTGATACCCTCCCCCATTGCGCTTAAGCTTCAAAAGGAACATTAAACGAAATTATAATTTCAAACAGCCAAATTAATATATACAAAAAACGTCTAGTGCGCACATAGGACCTGTCGGATAATGAAAATTATTCGAATAAAATATGTTATTCGAATTATTCAGATAAATATTTATTCGAATATTTGAATAACGAATACGAAGCTCTACGCAGTGAATAAAATTCGATGTGCGCATGAGCGCTCCGCACATAGAAAATTTTTGCGCACAAAGCACACACTACTTTTTAAAATAATGTGTGTTATATAGTTGGCCTTGTTCTACTATATCGAAAAATTTGGTGCGCGTTGCGCACCAAATTTTGACTTTGAATTTTATTCACTGGCCGTCATACACCTTAGTTTAGTGGGCGAATATAAAGACAATTTATTAATCGGTGGATTAAAAAAGTGATTCATGTTTACAAACACTTATTTACTACTAACTAATATCATTATATTCGGTCAGTGAGTATTACAATCAATTTTAATGGATATTTTGACGATAACGATAAATGGTAACCTAATATGGCAAAGTATACATTGTAATAAAGACAACACGTTTTAAAGCATGATGTTTAGCATGTGATCACAACAAGCAAAAATCGAGACGGTCTATCGGCACAGCATCCACATGATTTATCTTTCTTATCGGCACAGCAATTGACATTTCATGGGAAATAAGCCATGTGGATGCTGTGTCGGTAGATCGTATATTAATGATTGCATCAGAGAATTTCAACTTAGAACCATTGGACCGATTTTATCCAATAAATTACAGTATAAGCCTCGTGGGCGTTATTTGAAAATCGGATCCTTCAAAAATAACTTATATGTTCTTCTCAGAAATTATAGCATATTAGTATGGTATAGGTGAGCAGATCAGTATAGTATAGGTCGATTTTTCAAATTTAAGGAATTAGTATAGGCCGTATATATAATACTTGATCTCATAGACAGAAGTTCGTCTGATTGGCTAATAAATTCAATTTAAATTTACAATATTTATATAGTTTAGAAAAAATAAAACTACGAAGAATAAACAAAAAAGAAACATATAAAAAGGGTTATTAGGGTTGTAAGACTCCACCATTAAAAATAAACTCAATCAATTTTGGTTTTAGTGAAGTTAACATAATAGCGACTTCTTAAAGATAGGTTATTACCATGCTAACTTCTCTAAAACCAAAATTGATTGAGTTTATTTTTAATGGTGGAGTCCTACAACCCTAATAACCCTTTTCTTTTTTGTTTATTCTTCGTAGTTTTATTTTTCTAAAAAGTACTTTAAACTGTATAAATAATGTAAAATTAAATTGAATTTATTAGCCAATCAGACGAACTTCTGTCTATGAAGTAAGTATAGATTGTAAAATCGACCTATGCCATACTGATCAGAGCCATTACCCGAGTCGGTTGACCCGTACGGGTCACCCGACCTGACGGATCACGGGTCAAAAAACTGCTCTAACTGGGTCAGAATTTAAAGTAGGCAAAACCTACTAAAACACTATATTGCATAATTTACTATATAGGTAGAAGACACTATAGTTTACTATATAAATAGTAAAGCTCTTACCCGGGTCGTCTAACCCGTGCGGGTCAGCTTCTTGTATTTCCCGGTGTAGAAATGGGCGAACTCGAATCATGAGCAAGTTCGAAATCTTTTTTCGCAATTTAAATAATTGGAGTACAGCTGTTCTCTATACTACAGCTCTAATTAAGTATCGTTGCGTCAACTTTTAAGGATTAACTTTAAAAACCTTATGAATTTCCGTTTGACCCGTTGACCCGGGTTATAACCCGGGTCAATACCTGACCCGCCCAGGTCGGTATTTTTCTGACCCGGGTAAGAGCTCTAATACTGATCTGCGAAACGGTTACATATCATTTTATAGAAATTTATCACAGACACCTTGTTTTCATAGACAGTTCATTTTAGACATTTTATTTTATAGACAATCTTTAACTCTGATAGAAATTATTTATTATTAAAGATTGTCTATAAAATGAACTGTCGATACGTAGAATGTTCTGTCATAAAATGAACTGTCTGAAAATTAATTGTCTTTAAGATAAACTTGTCTATGAAATGATTGTCTGAAATACAATAAGCTTCTGTGAAGTAGATTATGCTCTATAATTGAATATTCTATAATATACTTTTACCCAAAAACGTGCAGTTGTGGAAGGTTGACTGTATTGGATTTAGGAAATATGCTCTTATTTCGGAATAACACACATGGGTGTATTCGAAATAATGCGCAGGTGGGCGTTATTGCGCGCTTATACGATATCTAATTTTAAAGGATTGGCAAGAGAGGATTTGGTTATGTATACTGTATTCAGCAATTTGGTTGGATGGTATACAAAAATTGATTATAATTGTGTAAACTTTTGTGTTGAAATTTGATTGGCCAGCATACTACATCACTATCTCACGGCAATATAACCTCGGGTAGTACGACCTCTACGTCATAGCCATAATGCCATAAGTAATCTGTCTGCATCATTAATTATAATTCAGCACGAAATAGAAACGTTTGTCTGATCTTCAAACTGATTGTATCAAATAATAGTATAAAAGAAAATGCTAATAGAAAATTGACCAAACTTTTTAAATAGTAAAGTCGATTTCAAACAGCCTATACGTATAACAGTTTGAGCGTGATTGCAATTTTATCATCGGCTAACAGACATTTCGTATGGGTTCAGCAAACACGTGATTTGGGCTGGTTTATCAAGAAAAATTTTTTAATTCGAAGACGTTTTATCGTTATAGTGATTTGTAATATGCTATACAGTATTTAGAATCTCAACGTCTTACCAATCAAATATATAAATCAAATGTTTATAGCTTTAGAATAATTCCTTCAGAATTTTCGTGCAAATGACGCTGTTTATCTTTTGTCGCTTGTCATTCACATATCTTGAGGAAATGAAAATCTACATACAATCTCGAAACATTAGATTTTATAAACAATGCTGGAATAAAAATCCTGAGGTAAGGTTTGAATCTGTTTTATTTTCTCAAGTATTAAAAACCGGGTTTGATCTGTTTTAATTATGAAAAATAAAATCAGTTTTAAATTCTATTTTGGAATGAAAAATCCAAAACCACTACTACATTGAATGAAATGGTTATTCTCCATAATTATTAAAATTGTAATCTGTTTAAAATGCTTAAGATCATTATACTCTTGAAGAGTTGTAAAATTTGAAAATCAATTCTTTTTTTTTTATTAAAGATTAATATATGGGAAAAAAAATTAAAAAATTACAATATTATATAAAGTTTATTTTCTACACTAAAACTAAAAAATTTTTGGTTTATTTAAATCTATGAATTTAAACAAGATCCTGGAGTAGATGTTTTTGAATCACACACATTTTCTATTCCAGAATTATCAATACCATTAATAACAGGAGGTATTGAAGTTGTATTTGATATAACATGTGTATTTGAATGTGAATGTGTATGATGTGATATATTTACATGTTGAAGCTTTTCATGCCTAACAGTAGCTCTGTTATGTATCATGTGACTTTTAACTAAATGTCCAGCAGCTAATGCAGCGCATAAACTTAATTCTCCTGCCATAACACTGGCGCATATAATTCTCGCTAATTTTTTCGCATTTTCTCCTGGAATTGTTGGATGAGGTCCCTTTACACCCAACATTTCTAGTATGGCACTCTGTGGTCCTAAAGTTGTTCCTCCTCCTATTGTCCCTACTTCGATTGATGGCATTGTACATGTAATGTGTAAATCTTTAGTATTTGTCACCGGATTATCGACAGCTTCCATTAACGTTATACAATTTGAACTTTCAACATTTTGTGCTGGATCTTGTCCGGCTGCAATATACATTGCTGTAACAATATTGGCAGCGTGAGCATTGAATCCTCCAATACTACCTGCAATCGCACTTCCAACTAAATTTTTTGAGATATTCAATTTTACAAGTGCTTCAACACTGGTTTTCAGTACTTTTTTTACAATATCACCAGGAATAATTGCTTCTGCAACTACAGATTTTCCACGTCCTTCAATCCAATTAATGGCAGCGGGTTTTTTATCTGTACAATAGTTTCCACTGATACTTATTATTTGCATATCAGGAAAATGTTCATTAATCACTTCAAGTGATTTCTCACATCCTTTCGAAATCATGTTCATTCCCATCGCATCCCCTGTAGATGTAGAAAATCTAATAAACAATAATTTTCCGGCAACAGTAACTTTTAATTTCTTCAATCTAGCAAATCTAGATGTAGAATTAAATGCTTGTTTTATAATGTCATTTCCATCATTTTCTAACCAATTTTTAGCTCTTTCAGCTTGTATTATGTTAGGGAATTCCACACAAGGTCCACGAGCCATCATATCTTGTGTTACAACAGTTCTGGCACCACCACCACCATTAATTGCCTTACACCCTCTTGAAGTTGATGCCACCAAACATCCTTCAGTCGTTGCCATTGGAATATGAAACGATTCACCATCAATTTTTAAGGGCCCTGCAACTCCAACAGGGATTGGTATGTAACCAATTACATTCTCACAACATACACCCATAACTTTTGAATAATCGTAACCTTCCACAGGTAAAGCCGAATTTTTTAACGTTTTTGTGCTTGATGTATGTGATATGAAAGCTCTACGTATTTTTACAGCTCGTACATTATCTTTCAATATTTTTTCTAAATTATACTGAGGAATTTTTCCATTAATAACTGATAGAAGGACATCTTCATCAGACATGATCGTAGGATCAATTGATTCTAAAGGTTTAGGTGTATCAAAGATTTCTTTTGGGGGTCGAGGTTCTATCTTTGAGTCATTATTATGAGATGTAGTATTCAAAGTTGGTGGCGTAGTAACAACATCAGAAGTTTTCTCATTAATCTTTGTTTGATTATGCGTATTCAAAGTAAATGGTGTAGTAACAACATCAGAAGTTTCCTCATTAGTCTTTGTTTGATTATGCGTATTCAAAGTAAGTGGAGTAGTAACAACATCAGAAGTTTCCTCATTAGTCTTTGTTTGATTATGCGTATTCAAAAGATAACAATTCAAAATGATGGAGAAAATCAATCCAATAAAGAACAATGTCGTAAGTACCGAATCTTGAACATAAATAGACCAATAATTCAAGATGGTATCAAATATCTTATAGAACGCTTGAAGGAATGTTGCTTGACTACCAGTTACATCACTTTGAACAGTTCGAAATATTATTGGTGATGCCACATCAACAATTAAAGGTAAGGAAGCTTTAGGACTCGACTGATGTTGTGAAAGAATGGCATCTAGAATTGGTATTGTTATTGGATTATCATAAACGTCAGTCTTTGCGGTCTGAAATGCTGAAGAAACACCATCATCTGTATGAAGGGTTGTACATAAGTTCATCACATGCATTATTAAAAAGCCAATAATCTGTTAAAACAGAAAAAATTTTAAGTAAATATGAGATTTAAAAAAAAAAAAAAAAATCAAAAATTTATAATTAATGAAAAACTTACAATTAACAATTTAACTCTTGAAATCATTGGATTATCATATTTTTTTGCATCAACACTACTATCATGAAGAGTCATTAAAATGTTTCGTCCTAAATTCGCAGGACTACTTTTCAATTCATCTTTTTCAATAGTTTTTTCAGCTTTACGAATACGTTTCAACTAAATTATAAATCGAGAAAATTATTAATAAACAATAAAGAAAAACCAGTAAAATATAAATGAGAAAAAGGTGAATTACCTCAAGTTTAAGAGTCAAAGTGGCAGTATAAAATGTGAACAAGAACATACAATCATATAATAATATGAAACCAGCTAAAAAACAAAATTCCTGTAAACCAGCAACACCACTAGCAGCACCGATAAATAATACAATAATTTCGATAAAATAATCCCTAATTATTTTTGGACCTTCTTTAGTTACCCCAGAAATCACATTATCACGAACATTGAAAGGAATCGTAGCAGATTTACTTTCTTCAATTTGAGGAGTTAAAGGAGAAGATGCTGTAAGAACAGCTTTTGTTAAAGCAAAAGGTTTCTCAAAACCTACGGTTATTATCAAGAAAGGAGTTGCTTCACTGAAATTTAGAACAAAAAAATAAATAAATGTTAAATAAAAGTAATATTATTTTGAGAAAAATAATATAAGTACCTTAATAAGATGGGGTTAACGGTGACACCAAACAATTTTATTGTCAAGAAAGCAGACATGAAAGCAAAGAAGCCATTCGATAAAATGCATATAGCTATATATAATTTAAGATAAGATATTAAAAAGACGAACATATAAAATTAGATATTATAAAACAAATGATAAAGAATGAAAAATTACCAAGAATGAGACGCGAACCAATTTTTTGCATATTGACGAAAAGTGAAGCGAAAGTGAAAGTCATCAATACATAACCAGTAAAAATTACCAAGATATCGATGGTATCAGCTTGCTATTAATCAAAGAAATGACATTTAAAAAATAGAAACATATAAAAGCATAAAATAAAATGAGAGATTAATAAAATACCTGGATCAATTCTTGAACTTTAAAAAAAAGGTTACTAATAGCAAAAGCAAACCAAGCAAAAGAACCTTTTTTAGCGGGAACAGAAGATCTTGTTCCAGTAGAGGTAAATTTATCAACACGTAAATTAGAAATTTTATCCACCCAAGCATCAGTATATGCTAAGTAGGGACCATCAGCATTTAAAACGTAATTTAAAATTACGGCGGAATCATCACAATTCATGTCAGTGGAAGAACCGAAAGAAGAGGAATGACAAAAAGAACTTGTAGCATTGATTTCGAGAATAGGAGAAGTTAAAGAAAAACATGAAGAATCCCCAGGAAACTTATAACATAAATCATCATTATAATATAATTTATTTGTCCCATCAGAAACATAGATTTCTTGTTCAACAAGTTTTTGAAGTCTGGCAAGAGATCCTAAGTTATTTGAAACAATTGTTGATTGATGAGGAAGAATTGAATTAACAGGTTCATCCAGTTGAGTTTTTACAAAAAGTTGATTTAATCGAATTCGCGAAGCCTGACTAATAGAATCAGGTTTAGGGAGGAAGACAAACTCATTTGTGTTAGGATAGGAAATAATTTGAACAAAATCGATTTCTTGTAATTTGAAAAAATCTGATTCTATTAGGGATCTAAATAATGAAGCATATGTAAATGAAGCAATTATCAGACAAAATACGATCGTTTCAATCGGATTTCGCGAAGATTGCTTTGCAACGGAATTTAGTAGCCATTTGACCATCGATGATTGCATGAATAAAAAATAACGTTTTTTTTTTTTTGTTTAGAAATGAGTCAGTTAAAATAGATGAGTATTAGAGCAAAATCGAAAATTCTAATTAAATTTTTTTCTAATTATCTAAAAAAAAAAATAGTAATGTGAAGAAAAAAAAAATATATATATATATATATATATACTTGTAGCTCAATAAAAAGTGACTAAATTATTTCTTGAATGGTAAGATTTCCCATTTTAAACGGGCTTCTTTTTTTTTTTTTGTTACAATAACACGGGAGAGTTTTCAGTTTTCAAATTAATTTTTTTTTTTTGATGATACAATGATAAATGATATATGTGTGTGATCAACATTTGACATTCGAAAAAGCAATATCAATATATATATATATATATATATTTTATATGTACGTATCAAATTATTATGTAAATTTATTTATGTATGATTTATGTAATATTTATGTACGTACGTACGTACGTATAATTTATTTTATTAACAGTTAAAGTGGCTATTGCGTATGTACCTGAACCAATAACTATTAGAAAGTATATATACATTTATAAATAACTAAATGCTATTTTTCGATACCAATTTTTTGTCAATGGAAAATTATTTTTGCGTTATTCATCAGTTCGTTATTTTTAACGTATATGCTGCAGAATAGAAAGAACTCGAAAAAGTCTTAAACCTGAGGTTAAAAATAGCCAATTGATATCTTAACCATGGTTCAATTATTGTTTGTTTTATAGAAATCGACATTAATTTCCGATATTGTTTTGTGGGCCAAAGATTTATAATAAAACATTTGGTACGGACGTGATACTTTGTACAAGTAAATAGCCCTACTTTTCTCATTGTTATTCCTTTTGGTACTTCGTTTAACAAAAATTCATTCTACAATGTCATCATTTCCACAATGTCAAAATAAGTGTATCACAATTTTATGTCATACTACTTCCATGACTCCAATATTGAATAAAATTCCTACGTAGGTGAATAAAAGTTGGGCTACTGGGCCACCTTGAACACTTAATGTATCGTTATAAAAAACAATAAAAGCTGGGCCGCCGGGCCACGTTGAACACTTAATGCAAGTGAATAAAATTTGGGAATTTCATACTATATCGATATCGGAATGCATTACAGCATTTACCGGAAATTTCCGCATAATCTACCCGATTGTCTTTTTTTTTTAATTAAAATTTGGGTGGAACGTAACAATATCTATGTGAAAATCAGTAATGCATCGCTATTTATTATTGATCAAATGATTATTAAATATTTTCATTAAAACTTTTTAATAACTCATTGTATTACGGTAAAAGTAACTAAAATTATGTAAACGTCCGTCCGTCGGAATTTACGTACGTAAGGTATCGGATAATAGTGTTCCACACTCTTCATCTTAACCTTGACCTTAACTTAGGTCAAGTGATTTGAAACTTCATATTACGAAGAGATGTTTTTTATTATAATAACGAATGGTAAATTTTTATAGTAATTTGCAAAATTACGCGACAGATTTCCATACATCCATGTTGGAATCAAAAAAATCGACCTTCGTCGAGGATTTTAGAAATTGATTTCGACTTTCGACGTAACGTTTAAACAAAAGCGCGAAATAACGCCCACCTGCGCGTTATTTCGAAATAAGGTCAATACAACAACCTTCTATAAATGCACGTTGTTGGGGAAAAATGAAATAATCTATACGTATAATGTTACATAATTACATTAGATCGATCAATGATGTGCATTTTTGCACTTATAGAAGGAAACTACATGTGAAGTGTACTTATAGAGAAAGCACTTGTGGAGGGTCGACTGCATAACATTTATTGCGTTAATTTGGGACGCCTATGGGCGCTGTTACGAGACGCCCATGGGCGCTAATTCGAGAATGTAAACTATTTTTGAATACTCACGAAAATTATTTCGCGATAAGAAAATGATTTTGTCTAACAATTATAGTTATCATTAAAATATGGACCTCTTTTTTCTAATATTTATTCTAAGTATATTCTAAGAATTTATTCTTTATTAATACATTTGATATTGTGTTATGACACCCAATTTCAATTTCGTGAAATAACAACATTACGCGCGTTATTAAGAAAATCGTACACTCTAAATATAGTATGCAGCACCTTAAAATAGTGTGCATGGTTTCAAAATAACACCCATGAGCGTCTAGAAATAACGATAATGTGCATTCTATATAAGGTCACATCAAAGGAATTTCTTTTGATGTATTTACAATCAGTAAAATTGACCTTTATCGTACGTACAGTACATGCTTGTACTTAAAATAACGCGCATATACTCAAAATAACGTATAAGTGAGAATTACTACGCGAAAATAGGTAGACATTTACATTGATAGGAATTGTTCTTACATCATCTTTATAATTACACTTTATGCCAATTATTAGTAGATATATATAAATTGTGTTCTTCCATCTTCATTTAACTATATAGCTTTATTTGACAATTCAAACCTTAATTTTAAATAAAGAGATCAGGCTTTTGGTTCTGAGTTTATTACTATCGGCGGCATTTCAATATTGAGCTGCCGTCAATAGAAATCAAGCAGATTAACATTTTAAAAAAAGATTAATCCCTTAACTTTCACAATTATGTTTCGATGAATTTTGAGGCCATCTTGATGAATTAATATTCAAAAGAAAATATAGATCTTAAGATTTCTTTATAATATTAATTCATCAAAATAATCTTAAAATTCATCGAGATATAAATTTAAAAGTTAAGGGATTAATGTTTTTTTAATGTCAATCTGCTTTATCAGTGTTGGCAAAACATGGACATGGACATTTATGGACTATGCCCGTATTGCCCTATTGGACATAAGGCACTTAGTCCAAATCAAACACGTGATATTGCTATTTCGAACATTCTTATAGGATAAAATATAGTATAGATAACGCAAAACATTCATTTTTGATACACCTGCACCTACTTTTTTGATACTGATCGACATGCAGATCCCGGTAAAAAATAA